GCACTCCAGCCTGGGCAACAGAGCAAGACTCCATCTCAAAAAAAAAATTAGCTGGGCATGGTGGTATGCACCTATGGTCCCAGCCACTGAGGAGGCTGAGATGGGAGGATCGCTTGGAGACGGAAGCTGTAGTGATTGCACAACTGCACCCCAGCCTGGGCAACAGAGTGAGACCCTGTCTTTTAATTAAACAACAATAATAAATTCATAAAAAGGAAAAGGAGGACTCTAGAAAGGCAGTTTTTGAAAGCTTCATAGAGTAAGACACAGCAGAAATGAGAGCAGAGGAATTGGGGTTTGGAGCCAGGGAAGTGTCGGGGATTGGTGGGGGGAAGCAATCATACATTTTTCTTTATGTAGAGATGGGGTCTTGCTATGTTACCCAGGCTTGTCTCGAACTCCTGGCCTTGAGCAATCTTCCCTTCTCAGCCTCCCAAAGTGCTATACAAGTGTGGGTCACCATGCTGGCCACAATCCTACTTTTAATAATTAAAGAATTATAGCTTATTTTCCTATGATTGACATAAAACACTAGAAATGTCCTTTCTTCCGGGGCCCTTTATAAACTAGTAAGCAACATATATACTTGGAGGCATCAGTATTTTTCTTAAAAGAGGTTGAAATTTAGCTTTTCCTGACTCAACCCTGAATAACTTCAGTAGAGTCTTCATACACAATTCTATTTAAGTCAACAGATAAAATAATCATATGATTGTGTACTTAACAGTGTTCATAGTCCAATAAAGAGTTTAAACTAGCTAATAGAATTTGGAGTTAAGTAGATGGAAAAATCACCACAGTTGAATCAGAAGCCAAACCTTCTGTCAGACATGCAGACATTTATCATCCCAGTTTGCACGTGGTTGGCTGTAACGTTCTATTCTGCCAAGCATAAGTTCAACAAGACTTGGCTGTGGACAGGGGTATTTTTTTTTCTTCCTGCCTGCACATTTCCCAAGAGGGCTGAAGGAGTTCAGGAAATGCCACCCCTAGCCTGGGCATGGTGACTCATGCCTATAATCCCAGCTATTTGGGAGACAGAGGTAGGAGGATCACTCGAGGCCAGGAATTGGAGACCAGCCTGGCCAACATGGTGAGACTCTGTCTCTGAAAAAAAATTAAAAGAAAATTAGTCGGGCATGATGGTGCATGCCTGTGGTCCCAGCTACTCAAGAGACTGAGGTGGGAGGATCTCCACCCCAAAATATGATGCTTTGGTATGCTGATTACTTTGAACTGAGGGTATGTAGGGAGCAGCTCATATAGGCAGAGGTTTTCTCTGAGCTTCCTTATTTAAAGAGATTACCCAAAAGGAACTTAATTGTCATGAATCCCCTCCCCAGGAAACTCACCAACCAGGGAAGACTGGCTCCTATCACAGGAAAGGAGAGTAGACCTTGACAACACACGCAGACTTTGTCACCGGCTGTTACCTGTTCTTCCGACAGTCCGTTTATCTTTCCCCCAAACTGTTTACTCTCCCCTAAGTTACCTAATCATCTATACCCTCTGTCCTAAGAAGAGGGTACAGAAGCTTCTGGATCTCACTGGGTTCTGGGACATTTGCTTTTCTTTCATGTGATGTCCCTGTGTCCATATCTAATTTGTATACCTTTTCTCCCGTTAATCTGACTACTGTCAATTTCTTTCATGGACTCAATTACTGAATTCACAGGAAGTAGAAGAAAGGTCTTCCCTCCTGTACAGAAGGAAAGACTCCTGAGCTCAGGAGTTTGAGATCAGCCAGGGCTACATGCTGAAACCCCATTTCTACTAAAATATAAAAAGCCAGGCATCCAGCCTGGGGAACAGTGTGAGTCTGTGTCTCAAAAAAAAATATATATCTATATATATCGATATATATCTCGATATATATATGGCAGTAAGAAGAAACAAACCCTAAATTCATCACAGTGCACTCCAGCAACTGAGAAGACCCAAGTGAGCCCTTCCCAAAACAGCCTCTCTCCTGTTCACAGGCAACCACCATCCTGACTTTTCACACTGACTTCTGAATGTTATAGAGATGAACTCAGACAGGTAAGTTTTTGCCTAGATTATTTTGCTCAACTTTGTGTTTATAAAATTCATCAAGGTTTTTGCATGTAGATACAGGTCATTATTTTTCATTATTTATAGTTGAATTCCATTGAATTTATACACCACCATTTACTTACCCACTTTGCTTTATTTCCAGTTTTTGGCTATTACAAATAATGCTGCTATAAACATTTAAATACATGTCTTTTCATCAACTGTGCATGTACTTTTCCGTGGCCTACTCCACACAGTAGAATGGCTGGTGCATGTCTAAGGTATACATGGTTTTCTAGGTAATAGCAGATAGTTTACCAAAGTGCTTGTTATAATTAACCCTGCCATGAGCAACATTTGAATTGAAGATCCATCAATTCCACTTGCAGTAACAGATCCCTGAGAGATGTGTACCTATGTAAATCAGGATACACATACTTCAGTGATTACGATTGCAGTGTTGGTGATAACTGCAGACTAGACACAACCCAAACAATCATCAGGTATAGAAGGCATTGGCAGCCGAGCACGGTGGCTCACACCTGTAATCCCAGCATTTTGGGAGGCTGAAGTGGGCAGATCACCTGAGGTCAGGAGTTAGAGACCAGCCGGGACAACATGGTAAAAGCCTGTCTCTGCTAAAAATACAAAAATTAGCTGGGTGTGGTGACGGGTGCCTGCAGTCCCAGTTACATGGGAGGCTAAAGCAGAAGAATCGCTTCAACCTGGAAGACAGAGGCTGAAGTGAGCTGAGATTGCACCACTGCACTCTACCCAGCTTGAGCGACAGAACAAGACTCCATCTCACCGGGTAGGGGTGGGGGAAGGGATCTGCTTACTGTGACATGCATATGGAAACACTAAGATAATGATACCTCTATATAGTGAAACGCATACACTCTGTATACATACATAGTGAGAAAGATACATACTACATGCAGTATATATTAAATATAATGAGATAACACTATCAATAAAAATTAAGAAGTTGGAATTACACACAACATGGATAACTACAGAAAATGAAATATCAAATGGGAAAGACAAAAAAATACATACAGGTAAGCATAAGCAAAACCATATAAGATGTATTCCTGTAGCTTAAATATGTAATCACGAGGAATAAAATTACAAACAGCAGCATGGAGGGCTCATCTCAGAAGAAAAGGTCAAGATGGGGAAGGGATACCCACGAGTTTTGAGGAGCTCAGGATCATTTTTTTCTCGACTTGGGTATTAGATTACATATTTGTAAAGCAGTACTGTATTGTATGCAATTTTTTTCCTATACATACCTCACAAGAAAACAAGTTTGAGAAAA